AGTTAATCAATCTATGAGATGTCTCTCTTAGAATAGAGTACTTGCAATAAAATACAAATGCTGTTAATATATAGAATTTATAGCAGCTACATGCCCAGACAACTGGTCATCCTGGCAACACACATATCTGTGGAGCAGCGACCAGTTGTCTGGGCATGTATTCTATAAATTCTATATATTAACAGCATTTGTATTTTATTGCAAGTACTCTATTCTAAGAGAGACATCTCATAGATTGATTAACTCTAATCCTGCCTGAAAGACTTTCAAGTGCCGCGGCTATTGAGGATTCCCTGTTGTTATATTAATACACCAATACGATGTTTCACTAGCGGTGACGTATGGATACAGAGTTGATGTATGATTCTGTAAAACAAATGCCAAGTTGTTGATCATGTGATGTATAACCTCGTGGTCTAGCAAGGAAAAAACTGACTGTGGCCTGAAGTTGATATATATTGTCGAGGATTGTTATACATAAAGTGGATTTGTTGAGTATTAACAGCATTTGTATTTTATTGTATTATATTTTATTATTATTACTCTCTTGATTATTATTTATGATACTTATGAGTAACTGATTAATAAAGTTTTTTTTTTTCTGTATAATGTTCAAAATTAAATTATATTTTACTTGGAGTTCTATTTTCATAGCTGGTTACTATGATGTTGTTTGTAGAGTTTGGTATTGATAATGTTGCTTCTTTAAATATCTGTATTTGTTTTGGCTGGTTACTCATATGAAGGCAGTGCTTATTAACTTATGAAACTTGCATAAATTGTTATTAACTTGTAATTTGGTATTTTACCCTGCCAGTAACGTGATTATGTTCCATGGGTTCCAGAACAGGGACTTCTTCTATGATAAGTTAAAGTTCTTTGAGTTGTTTAGTTAACTCTGGATTCAAGTACTCTAGGAAAAGGTCAGATAATAATCATTAAGTAGTTAAAGTATTAAGTTATGATGGAGATCAACGACGTCGTGTGATGCTGGAAGCAAACGGCTGCAGTCTTGACAGAGCAGGTTGCAGATGTTAAAAAAGCTGGGTGAGACTTACTGGCGGTAGACTAAATTTCCCTATTCTTTCTTCAATGTTTACAATTTAAATCTGACGAAAAAAACCACTACCTTATGTTACTGCTAGTTTGAAAAAATGGTAACGCTAGATAAGTGTTATTCTGTGAGAAACGTATTCATAAAGTGATGTTTGTACAGTCGATAACAATATAGCATTGTTGTAACAGAAATCGATATGTTATAAAGAAGATAGTTTATAAGCAAGTACATAAAACCAAAATTCTAGAATACAAAAATACAGAGTAAATTATGTAAATTGATGAACAAGGTAGACTATGAATGGAAGTGCAAAAGAATTAATTATTACAAAACTTTTCATTTCGGACAAAAAGAGAGAAAGTGTTTGTAAAATGTAAACGAGGGAGTATTGTTCGGATTTGGAGCGATCAATAAGTACAGATCTCGTTTTTACATTTTTTTTAAGATGCCACAACTCGTGTTTGGTGTTTTGGCACTGGAAGATCAATAATTCGATTGATATTCTATGTTCAGGAAATCTGTTACCAATGCGACTTGAGTCGCCATTGTATAGTGAATAACAATGTATATTAAATAATAGATTCAACTACGCAGTGAAAGCCATGTTAATGTGAAGAATATTTAGTGCTTTTAAAACCATCGGTGATGGGAATAAAAGTATAAAGATATGTGTTGCCAGGACTTTTATATGACACGATTCCTCAAACATCCACCACTATACTGGTACAGATATATAGAGTCCAGTGTTTCCCAAACTTTTTTGGCCACAGAACACTTTTAGCTATAAAACTATTGACAGAACCCTTAAGAAACATTTTTGTCTGAAGAAGTTAAATCATAAAAAATTTCAAGCTTTGTACAGTAGGTAACTATATATATATACACAAATAGATTATGAATATCACGTTGGAGTATCTTATTTTATATAGTTACGAGATGTTAAAGGCATTTTCTTTATAGGACAAACAATTGTAATTGACACACACACACACACAAAAACACATTTTAAAATAGCGACATAAGACGTCACATTGTCGGAAATTGACCCCACTATTAATAATAATGCTGTAAAAATGTAAACATAGGAAAACAAAGAAACGAATGAAGAGGGTAAAAAATAAATGTAAGAAATATTAAAAAATAACTAAACTATTTCGGCAAAATTAAAAATTCGCATGTATTACCTCATACTGCTTTGATGTGGTGTCATATAGTGTTAAAATAAATACTTCAATTAATTTTTGGATTGAAGCGGGACTAGAACACAAAATTATATTTGGAGATATAGTGTCATAATTTCATCAGATAATTACAAAGAAGTATTATGGTGTGAATATTACAATTTTTCTATCTGATTTAAATATGTCATGAAGTTCAGTTTAAATAATTCCTACAATTATCGAGCTGAAAAGGTTGTCAAAGTTTATTATTTATGACAATAGTGATTTCGGTATGTATTTTATTTTATTACTTGTTTTTTATTCAGAATTTTGGGAAGTGCACGCCACTGTTAAGTTTGATGAATTGTACAAAACGTTGACAATTCGATGCCTTTAAAGGAAGTTATTTCACATTGCCCCCCAGTGGCACAGCGGTATGTCTGCGGACTTACAACGCTAGAAACCGGGTTTCGATACCCGTGGTGGGCAGAGCACAGATATCCCTTGTGTAGCTTTGTGCATAATTAAAAACAAACAAACAAAAAAAAACAAACAGTTATTTCACAGGATTGTTTTAAAACATTGTTAAAGTGGTTTCTTTCTTTCTTTTTTAATTAGTTCTTTAGCCCATTGTGTG